TAGCTATACACAATAATTGGTTTCATTATGGTATTTTCATTCATATGCATACAATGTATTTTTTATCATAATCACCCAGTCTTGTTGCCCTCTCACTCCTTTAAAACTTAGAACTTCGATCCTCCTGCCACTTTCTCCAGAGTGATGGACTCATGGGGATTCCCCTCATGCTCAGTTTATGAAGTGCTTAGGATGGGCTTTAGGATTCGTGTGCCTACTGAGTTACATCCCCGAGCCCTCCTTTATTCTTTAAGTATTACTTTTCTAGTTTTGTTACATACTAGGCACTGCTCTACAGGTTCAAGTATGAACTCACTCTGTCCTTATGGCAGCCTTGCCAGGATCTTGCTTCCTTTGTTTTGTACCTGTAAGGGAAACTGAGGCCTGGAAGATCAGGAAAGTTGCTCAGGTGGCAGAGCTGGCATTGCAGAGGTGACCTAGCTGCAGGATCAGTGTCCTCTTACTGTGTCCTGATGGCCCAAATCAGAACTTCAGATACAGTTATCCCAGTGTCTGCCATCCGTCAGATGCCAACTAGCTCACCTTGCATCTGCTATGTGGACGTGTCTGGCACAGTGACACTTCATTCTTACCATCTGCTAGGTGCATGAGTGGACAAATGAATACACGAGAAAGGAAATTCCTCATGGCCTGACTCCCTAGCATAATAACCATGCTAGTTTTGACAGAGTAGATCTTCATGTGTGGATCAGGAACCACACCTGCTAGTCCAGTGTACCGTCACTGTCTTTAAGAAGCCAGAACAGTTCTACTGTGCCAACACACCTGGGGCAAGAAGCTGGTAAGGTGCCCCCTGCCAGCACCTGGCTCCTGCTCAGCCTAGGGCACGTCTCTTTCTCTCTTTGTCTCACCTTTGCTCACAGCCTTGCTGGCTCCTGGAGGCTCCTTATCTCTGTCTGCCAGGCTCATCCACATCTTTGTGTGTGTGCTGAGCCTAGACGCTTTCCAAAGGGTGGAGGACCTGCAATTGTAATTTTACTCCATCATCACTGTTAAGGCATAGAAAACAAACATTGGTACAATTGCCTGCCATTCTGCAAGTGTTTCAAGTGGGCAAGTCATTACTCTGGAACCCAAAAAAGTATGAAGTTGTGTCATGAATTTAGAAGCTGCTAGAGTCCTGGGTTCTGTCTATGTTGGCTGCTCCTTCAACTTGTAGTGCTAAAACTAATACTAATACACTAATGGTGTGTTTTAGTTTGATGTTGCTCTAGCAAACAATGGGTTAAGTTTATGAAGAAAAGAAGTGTAAATTTTTGTTGTG